TTGGTCCACTCTTGTTTAATCTCTTCTATGCAGCAATGCTCAATGTAGCTACAAGAGACCAGGATACGTTTCCGATCCTCTGGAAAATTATTTAAGCGGAATAGGCTGCGATCATCCATGAACGTCTTTGAGGCAATTGTTCATAAGCTGAGGTATGCTCTAGGGGCACATATTTTAAAAGATATAAAATTGATTACAGACAGATTTGCAGAAAGGTATGGGCTGACAATCACCCTGAAAAAGACAAAGGTCATGTATCGACCTATGCCAGGAAAATCCAACATAAAAGTAAAAGTCACCATCAGAGAAACACAGCCAAACGATGCTACAGACATCTGCTATCTTAGTAGTATATTGTGGAATGATGTCACTGAAGACAAGGAGCTGACAAGTCATATCAACAAAGCTAGGTCATCATTTGGCAGAGTATCCGGCAGAGTCTGGCAGCAACACAATATTAAGCTTGAAACCAAGTCTGTAAAATAATTGTGCTCTCCAACTTGCTGTATGGGTGAAAAACCTGGACTTGCTACAGGCATCACATTAAGCTTCTAGATAAGTCCCACTTATGACACCTGTGTGCCATGCTCTGCATCACATGGCAGGATAAAGTTACCAATGAGGAGGTTCTGGAATGCAGTCACTCTACAGGGCTTGAAGCCAGGCTTATCACATCACATCATAGTTACACTGGGCTGGTCATTTGTTAAGGATGGACGACACCAGAATGCCAAGGCAGTTCCTGCGTAGTGAACTGAAAGTGGACAACTGCATACAAGGCGGCCGGAAGAAACACTTCAAGGCCACACCAATGCATAACTCAAAACACTGCAACGCTGACAACTGGGAGTCAGTAAGAGGTAGGTCACGCTGGCAAGCAGTAGGTAACAATGGGGTTACCCAGTTCAAGATTAGTGGCAAGCAGTTGGCAACAATGGGGTTACCCAGTTCAAGATTAACTGGCAAGCAGAAGGCAACAACGGAGTTACCCAGTTCAAGATTAGCTGGCAAGCAGCCGGCAATAATGGGGTTACCCGGTTCAAGATTAACTGGCAAGAAGTAGGCAACATTGGGGTTACCCAGTTCAAGATTAACCGCAGTATAGATCTTAAAGCACAGAGGCGGAGTGATAAATAGCGGCATACTCAGCAGACACAGACTTTAACCCCTTCCTCCACCTCAAGCTACCTGTGCACTTCATGACGAAAGGACTGCCACTCGCACATCGGTCTTTTTAGCCATAACCGTACACACACGAGGTAAAACTGTCGCCAGCGTCATTTTCGATCAGGAGGGACAGTAACGGCAAGTCAAGTGTATAATTCTTGGCAAAATTAACCGTAATAAATCCCAATACAACCCTGTGGCACCGTTCCCAAAAAACTAATGCAAACAACTTTTCATAGCAACAAACTCCAAGAAACTAGGGAGCTGGGATGCCCCCACTGACTAAGTTGCTGATGGCAAGAAACAAACCGGGACATAGTGCAGCACAGGGGTGGATTTAGAGTTAGTGGGGCCCTGTGCGCAGCTTCATTTTCGGCCCCCCCTTGGGACCGAGCCAAGAAAAAGAAAGCCAGACCCCTGTCCACCCCAGGCGCGGGTCCAGATCTGGGTGCAGGCCACGGTGGCGACTGACGGGACCATAGGTGTGGGAACTAGGGGTGCGGGCAGGGCTGCCAACAGAATTGCCAGGCCCCTGGGCAAGGTGGGGGGACCCGGAAGGGGCAGGGCCTCAGGAAGAAGAGGTGGGGCTGGGGGCTAGCCTCCCCCAGCCAGCCCTTCAGCACTGCCCGGGCCACACCACGCAGAGGGCTCCAGCGGTAATTTAAAGGGCCTATGGTTCCAGCCACTGCCGGGAGCCCCAGGCCTTTTTAAATTGCTGGGCCCTGGGACATCTGCCCCTTCCCTCCCACACACCCCGTTGGCAGCCCTCGGTGCGGGAGGGGGCTGCAGCTCTCCCACGGGGGGAAGGATAGCTCAGTGGTTTGAGCATTGGCCTGCTAAACTCAGGGTTGTGAGTTCAATCCTTGAGGGGGCCATTTAAGGATCTTGGGCAAAATCAGTACTTGGTCCTGCTAGTGAAGGCAGGGGGCTGGACTTGATGACCTTTCAAGGTCCCTTCCAGTTCTAGGAGATAGGATATCTCCTTTATTTAATTTAATTTTATTTAATTTAATTTAGTTTTATGCGGGGCTCCACTGTCGCCCCGCGCCAATTATGTTAAAACCTATTGTTAGGAGCACAGAACTGCCCGGGCTCCTGGGGAGACAGGGAGGGGCCTGAGCCCCGCCACAGGGGCTGCACTGCAGCCGCAGCTGCTAAGGGGGATCGCGGCCACTTGCTTTGCAAGCACCCAGTGGCCAGGGGAGGCGGGCAGAGATCAGCGCGTGGAGGCAGGTCTCTGCCCACTTCTCCAGGCCAGTCAGCCCGGGGCCACCGGGCGCCCAAAGCTGTCCTCGGCCATGAAGATCTTGGTGTCTCTTGTCTCCTTCTCCAGCCCCATGGTGGCTCCGCACATGCGCTGCCTCCAGGGCGCCCGGGGTCCCGGCTACACCCCGGGCCCAGGGCTCTGTGGGCTCCGCTGCTGCCCCACTAGCCGGCCCAGAGAAGCAGGCAGAGACCCGCCTGGGCTGAATACTCACCTGAAGTGGGAGCGGGGGCACAGCTCCATTGGCAGCCACCTGAGTGCCCCCCTGCCTCAGTGCGCTGATCTCTGCTCGCCTCCCCTGGCCGCTGGGTCCTTGCAACGCAGGCAGCTGCGATTCCCCCTTAACCGCTGCACTGCAGCCCCCATGGCCGGGCTCAGGCCCCGCCCTGTCTCCCCAGGAGCCCAGGCGGTTCTGTGCTCCTAACAATATGTTTTAACGTACGTGGTGCAAGGCAGCAGCCAGGACCCCAGGCACAGTGTGGCAGTGAAGCCCCACATAAAACGTGGGGGTGCTGCAGAACCCCCCCCTGCACTCCTAGTTCCCGCACATATGTTTTGGGGGCCCCCTGTTGTTGGGGGGCCCCATGCCATGGCACGGAATGTTTCAAGGTAAATCCGCTCCTGGTGCATCACCTGCGTGGCTTAACACACTCCTGTAGGTTTGAGTACTTAATTTAGCAACGTTACATTCACTGTGGAAGAGTCAGACTAAAGCCTTCTGGGTTATTTGCTTGCAGCCTCACCCGCGCTTCTTGCCAGTTTTCCCACTTTCAGTGTTTTGCCTGCAGTGGGAAGAATATGCTGAACCCATCTTCTTTTAGACTTGCTAACTGGTTTACACGCGTTTAGTGATCCAACCTCTACAGGAGTGAACATGGCTCTACTGAACACAGCTTTTCTCTCCTTTAAATGGCTACTGAATAAAGCTTGCCTCACCCTAATAACTGTTTGATTTTCAAAGGAGTTAAGTCATCCATAAGAGCAAACATCTCTTCCACATTTATATACGCACAGGAGTATATTTGCAGCATATTGGTTCCTATTTAATACTATGGCAGTATAATCACCCTTTGTGTAACGTAATGTCAACAATACATTGTGCAATAAGCACACGAGTCTTTTGTTCAAAGTCCTTTTACAATTATCTAGAAAGAAAAGTCAAATGTTCCATGCAGTCACTCTCCCTCTACAAGAGGGGACATCAAGAGGTTCAGTAAATAGCCAATGGAAGGTCTTGTAAATGGAAATCTAAAACTTTCCCCCAAAAGTCTGCTTCAAACAAACACTGGGCATGAAGGTGGCTAACGAGCAAGCAAGAAGCACTAACCTGACTGGCTCAAATTGTTCAGACAGGGTACGTCTATACTTACCTCCGGGTTTGGCAGTAAGCAATCGATCTTCTGGGATCGATTTATCACGTCTTGTCTAGACGCGATAAATCGATCCCAGAAGTGCTCGCCGTCGACGCTGGTACTCCTGCTCCACGAGAGGAGCACACCCAGTCGACGGGGGAGCCTGCCTGCCGTGTGTGGACCCGCGGTAAGTACCCTGTAGTTCGAACAAAGGTACTTCGACTTCAGCTACGTTATTCACATAGCTGAAGTTGCGTATCTTAGTTCGAACTGGGGGGTTAGTGTGGACCAGCCCACAGACTGGACCTTTGCCTCACTGAACAGGCGGAGTTATTACTTTTGTCCTAGCTAGGACTCATCAATTAAAGAGACAATGCATTCTTCACATTCCTGAAAAGAATTCAAAAGCCAGATATTTATGTCTGGAGAAGAATTTGCAGCACTTCTGTCGTGTTCAGACATAAGAGCATAGCCATACGTGCTAGCTTCACCTTAGTCTCCCAGCAAATGGAGAACTGCAGTAAGGATTTCCCTGTGCAAAGCTGCCAACAGATTTACTAGCAACAAACAGAATAATCCAGCCATTTGATATAACATCCTGGGCATTGATGGGTGGAAGTAAAAAAAAAAGAAAAAAAATAACTTTTAAAAGGAGTGAAATTCTACAGGAGATGGAGACAGAAGTGATAAACATGCTTGCATTGTTCAAGTTATTTCACACATTCTTCATCTGTGCAAGACCTGAATGGTCATGAGATTTGGAGTTGGGACAAGACGAGTCCTCCAGGTCTCAAGCCCCACAAACTGCTGGGTGCTATTGGTTAATTAAGAACTGCAAATAGTACGCTTTAAATATACCCATACTGTCAGCTGTGCTCAAACAGCCAATCAAAATCATTCAATGCCATAAACATGAAGCCAACTAAAAAAGCCATCTGTCCCATTCATATTCTGGGTTAGTGTGGTGGGCAAAATACAAACCTCCTGCGGTAGTGACAGATAGGGCCTTCACGCCAAAGAGGTGTGGCCTAGTGTTTTAGGTACTGCTTTAAAATGATAAACTTTTAATCTGCTAAAACATTAGTCACAATTTAGCTAAGAGATTTGTGGATAGTTCTCTATTAGTATACGGTATACGCCATACATGAATAAGATCAGCGGAGATTATTAGAATAGGCTTTTTCTGTGCAAGCCATAGAAATGAACATTGGACTGACCTTCCATTGCTCCTTGGGAAGCAGTTTCACCACCACAATGTCACCATTTAGGGCTCTGTTGCGAGCAACCACCCCATCAATAAAGATATCACGAATCCCATCCTATGGAAAGGAGAAAAAAATGTGAAATATCAAAGCATAAAAGACTAAGCTATATTTACTGCAGAAGTTTAAAAATAGCGACAAAAAAGGACAAGAGAGGGTCCTGTGGCACCTTTGAGAGTAACAGAAGTATTGGGAGCATAAGCTTTCGTGGGTAAGAACCTCACTTCTTCAGATGCAAGTCAAAAAAGGACAGCGCACACACCCTGGGGAGATGGAGATACATATTTAAACGTTACATAACGCAGCAACAAGTCTGTTGTAACTGCAGCCAACCGCAGTCTGTTCTGCCCCCTGCAGTCCAGAACCCCGCCTTCTAAAAGAGATGACCTTGGTTTCTGTAGCCCCACCTCACATACCAATCGCAGCTACTCCATACAGCAGGGTTATCTGCCCAGAACACACTTGACACTCAGCTCACAATCGAGATTTGGGTTTGGGGGGGGGGGGAGGAAGAGTCCCCCCCACCTGGGATCAAGGAGGATCCGGTTTAATCGCAGAGGTTTGTAGGTTTTTTTAGGGAATGGAGGTTTCACTTTCACACCGCTTTTGGTCAAGTTAAATCTACTGCTTTCATTTTTGCTCCCTTGTACTTCGGCAAGCTGAGCTGACAATTGTGTGCGGTTGGTTGCAGAACACCATGAACCTTTAAAACCCTAGTATTAACCTGGATATTAAGACATGTTCTTCTATTGTGGAGCCTTATCCCCTTTTCTTAGCTTTAAGGCATAAGATGACTGTGGGTTTCTTTAGTTTCTAACTTTTTTTTCAAGAAAAGCCAACCTTAAGGGAACTAAAATCTTAAACACACTGGGGTTTTAATGCAGTTCCTCAAATACACGCTCACGATTCTCTTGCACCTGCTAAGAGCTAATCTGCAGCATTACCATTATACCCAGTCTTCAGGGGAAACAGTAAACATATCGAATAAGGCCTGGTAGATTTCTCAGGTTAACATCACCTAAGTAGTCTGTGCTGCCTAGACAGCAAAATAACAGAGGTAGAACCCTGCTGTCACGTGAAACTGAGGCCATCCTCCAACCGAGCAAATTACTCTTAGAAAGAAAAGCACAGCAGCTCAACAGCTGTGTCAAAGCTGCCTCCCATGACAAGATGCAGAAAAATTGCAAAGCCCGTTGGACCAACATAATTCAAATTGGAAACTTTTCTTTTCAAAAGGCCAGATTTTTACACATGGCCCTACAGCTCTTCTCCCACCCCCCTGCCCCTGAACGAGATCCACCACATATCTACAAAGGAAAAGTCAAAGACTCGTTTTAAGAAAAATGCCTTTTTTTTAATCTAGCTGTACAATTCCATTGTAACGCTGGCTTGTTGCAGGGCAGGAGGAGGTTGGGATGTGGGTTAATTTGTTTGCGCCATACTATTTTTTTTTTTTTTGCAAAAAAAATTAAAAGTAGTTTCTCCATCTGCCAACAGCAGCTCTGGAAGCGCTACGCCAGCCAGCTGAAGCTATGCTGCTAGACTAAGCAAGAAGGGATTTTCTTTTTTTGATTTGCAGCCAAAAGCTCTCATTTTAAACAATTTATTCCTATATACAGATTTTTAACACCAGTTATTTCAATGCCTGCTAGAGCAGCGGTAATTAAAAACTGGCCAACACCACCATACAGCTTTTTAAAGTAACATGTCATAAAAATGCAACATTTGCTTACTTAGCGCTTCAGCACTGTGGTCCATAAAGTTAACTCACACTCTCCCAAGTATCTGGGATTTCCCATTTTTTGTCTCCTTCCCCCCTCACCAATTCTTCACACTCCAAACAGTCACCTTTTTGCATTACTAATGTAATTACAATGGGCTTGAACTGCAACACAGTACCGGGGTAACTTGAAAGGCCTACGCTTCTACTGAGGTGTTTACGCTGGATTCGTTGCCATAGCTTCAGAGCACATTACAGCTTGTAAGAGGATCGGATTCTGTGCAGTCATCTCCCATTCAGCAAGATGTTTTATTACTCTATTGCCTTCACTGAACAACAGTAGCAGCCTTTTACATTTCTGTCTGACAGCAGGGAGATCTGTGGTCATTCTAATCTCTTCCGGAAACAAGTTCTACAGTCATGGGCCAGCTGCCAAGAAAGCTCCATCTCTCATGTTCAAGTGTCTCGCTCTTCAAGATGACAATTCCACCATTCAAAAGATCACAGATACTGAAAGCAGTCAAGATTGCAGCATGGGAGGCAGGGTTCTAATAGCTTGGGTCCATCCCATGGAAGGCTTTGATGATAAAGCTTTTACCTTGACTCGGCATTCAACAGTAAGACAATATACAGAGCAGCAGTCTGGATCAACGTGCTCGTAGGGACTTGTGGCATTAAAGTGACCTGCTGCTGCATTTGAACCCAAAACAAGCCTAAGGCTGGCATAATAAAGCCCCGAGGTGACAAATGCAGGGGGTCACTGGAGCCAAGTCCGAGCCTGACAGAATGGGGTGCAATGCCCGGGCCAGCTGCAGGGGAGAGATGAAGACTTTTCACAGCCTTGATGGAGGGTTATGCTAATGGCGAGTTCCCCAAATGTAACCCTCTCCTTACAATGACTACTTCCACCTGGCCCAGACAGATCATCCTCCAGGGGCTGACTCGTCCTACCACTGGGCGATGGTGCTGTTTGCATGATTTAACCCAGGAAGAAAAGAGAGTGATGGCAGAAACGTAACCCTTAACTAACATTCCAGTGCCTATGTATTCCAGAACACAAAACCTGTGAGTGATCTGCTTTACCATGAGGTAATAGCTAAGCACTCGTGGGAGTAAGGATAGAGCTCTTTGCTTGTGTGCACAGTTGGACTTAATGTTTAGCTAGTGTTTTGTGGTTTAATAGGATAGGTTTAACAGTCTACACTTACCTCATTCAAGAGAGCAAGCAGAGAGGAGTACAGAACATTTCCCATTTACACACCAGGACTGTCAGTGCCAGTTTCAGGAAGCATTGGAGACCGCTATTATGAGTTTCCTCCCCAGTGACTCTCAAGAATCTTCCCCTTTGCACCAGCACAAATAATACAAGTCTTCCTCTATGGAAAGAGGCTTAAAGTTCATTTTCTATGACTGACTGACCACAGAAGTTAACACAAATCTCTGGACTTTCAATCCTGACTCCAAAAGAATTATGCCCCAAAAGTAGGAACGATATTAAACACAACCAACAACTCAGTGTCTGAGCAAGGCCCTTTTTCTCCTCTACCTCCAAACAAAACCTAATCTCAATATGAAACACCCTGTCACATTAGGAGCAAAACTTTAATCAAGTCACTACAAAATAACTGTCCTCAACTACACCAGCAGAGAGGTAACCTTGCCTAAAGGAGGCCCTTCAAATCACAAGAGTCCTTCCATTGAATGAATAACCGATGTAAAGAAATGGTCCCATGTGATAACCGTGAACCTCAAGCCAAGCTATACACCAGTGGTTTTCAACCTGTGATCCACAGACCCCGTGGGGCCGCAGACTATGTCTAAGGGGTCAGTGAAAAGTTGTCATTACCATAGAACAGTGGTTTACAACCCTTGATCCCCAGACCCTGGGGATCCGCAGACCATGTTTAAGATTTCCAAAGGGTTCTATTAAAAAAATTTTTAGGGGTGCACAAATGAAAAAAGCTTGAACCCCACTGCTATACACAGCTTGCGCAAAAGTGGGTGCATTAGAAGGAACCACGCATGGTACTTTTGGACCAACTTTATAAATTAGCTCATGCAGCAGATCGAAAATGGAGAGCATATTTGTTCAGGAAAGATTAATTTAAATCAGTGGAAAAATCTATAAATCTTCTGTAGCCATAGACCAAGGGTTTACAATTACACTAACTAGTGGTCCTCAAACCTGGGCTCAGCTGGTGTCTTTGGGTTAGAAACAAGTGTCCCCACTTTCATCAGAAGTTCAGAGACATTAAGTAGCACTTTGTGGTGTTGGAAACAGTTATTTTTCCCCACTATGTACATACCTTAAGGTTTATTTTAATGTATCCTAACTGGTGCATCTTGTTACACAAATCAAAGTGACATTTCGTACACAGTACAACTACTATCTTCATAGACATTCATTTAAGAACGACGGAGAATTATAAATTATACTTACTGGAGATGGAATGAAGGCTTCATGGTATTTCTTAGGATTTATTCTCAAAGGTCCCTTAATTAAAAAAAAAAAATCAAGATTATGTCTGGAACATTAGTTTTATGTAGTATTAGTTAAACTGGATGACTACGAATAACATAGTTACTTTGAAACATGATGGATATATCTGAATTTCCATTGCAAATTTTAAATTTTGAGATTAGTACCTGTGTGTTGGAACCATTTCAATCCAAAACTAAGTACATACGTCCACCCAGACACAACCCCTTCCTCCACTCTCCACCTGCCAAACAGCATGAGGTCGGGCTCCCAGACGTCATTCTGTCACACATTACACCATAAACCAGAGTACTCCAAAAAAGGCTTTTCAGAATTAGACATTGATATCGATTTTTATTGAGCACTGAAACTACATTCTTCTTTTATTTTTCCTAATTTGAAGATTCCCAGGATATCTCAACTGTAGTGAAAATTCACAGCTCTTGATTACATGAGGTTTTCCGATATGACCTGGGAACGTTGTACTAAACTTGGTGACTTTGTATTTGTTTGCATCAAGAATCTTTATTGTTTGGATTGCAGCCATGCCTAGGAGCCGCAGTCCTGGGCCCATTGGGCCAGGCACTGTATAAACACCAAAGAGGATGAACCCTGGCCCAAACCTAAGTTACCTGCTAAAGCAGGGCAAGTTGTACTAAAGATGGAATCTGCAATCTAAATGCACAGAAACAAAAATTCTGACCTACGGTGAATGACAGATACTATGATAGCCTGCGTGCTTAGCTTCAATGGAATTTCTCTGACAGAAATATTGGGAAGGGAAGAGAGGCCGAGGTGAAGACTGACTCAGCAATATATGCTCTTCAGGCAAAACGTGTTATCATAAAATCATAGACTATCAGGGTTGGAAGAGACATCAGGAGGTCATCTAGTCCCACCCCCTGCTCAAAGCAGGACCAACACCAACTAAATCATTCCAGCCAAGGCTTTATCAAGCCTGACCTTTAAAACCTCTAAGGAAGGAGATTCCACCACCTCCCTAGGGAACCCATAATTCCAGTGCTTCACCACCCTCCTAGTGAAAAAGTGTTTCCTAATATCCAACCTAAACCTCCCGGCACTGCAACTTGAGACCATTACTCCTTGTTCTGTCATCAGGTACCACTGAGAACAGTCTAGATCCATCCTCTTTGAAACCACCTTTCAGGTAGTTGAAAGCAGCTATCAAATCCCCCCCTCACTCTTCTCTTCTGCAGACTAAACAATCCCAGTTCCCTCAGCCTCTCCTCATAAGTCATGTGCTCCAGCACCCTAATCATTTTTGTTGCCCTCCGCTGAACTCTTTCCAATTTTTCCACATCCTTCTTGTAGTGTGGGGCCCAAAACTGGACACAGTATTCCAGATGAGTTAAGTAAACAAGTAGTGAGTTCAGGTCAGACATTCAGTATTTCCTTGTTTTCCAGTTTTGTGCTGCAACCAAGATCAAATCCATTTGGAGTGTTTTTAAATATAGATGCATAAAATGTTACTCATTCCAATAGCAGATACGCTAGTGTGCCACCTTTTCCCATCTGCTGTTACACATCCCCCATCAAAACCAAATAAATGATGGTTCGATGAGTTCCTTATTATAAAGTCCTTTGCTGATGCTGTTCTTTAAGCAGCCAAGAAACCAGGCCCGCTTCCTTCCTTAGCCCCCACCTCCTCCTCAACAGCCACAACGCTTGTTCAGACAGAAGAACAAATATAACAGAACAGCCCCTGGTTTTGATGATGATGATGTTTTTTGCTCTGTTTTTTTGGGGGGTGAGATTGGTTTTGCTTTAAAAAGTTGTATCGTATATTTTGGGAGACCGCTTTGGGGGTGGATAGGGCAGGAAGGAGAAAGGTTTCTTCCAGCACTGTCTCCCACCAGAGGGCCAAAACCTTATTGGACTCCAGCTGCGCTTTTGGACTGTTCACTAACATGGATAGTAATAACAATTCTGTAGTAAGAAAAGTTTAAAAGGTGAATTGAAAGGATTTTCCAAAAACAAACAGTTGAGATCCAACATCAGTAACGGGTGTAGACATAGTTATTAACAAATAAACTTTAAATTAGAGAGGACATTCATTTTCTGCTTCCCCATCATCCAGGATTAAGAGAGAAAAAGGAAATTTGAACAGGGGATTATTGGTTATTTCAGAACACTGACACTTCAATTCCAAGAGCATCCTGGGAATTGTAGTTTAGATGACTAATTAAAACATTTACTAACTTTTACTCTTCTAAAATGAGACAGTATTAACTACAGTTGCATTAATAAATTCCTTTTGCTTTTGATCTGAAACTTTAAAGCCTTTTTCATCCATGTATTTGGAATGTCTTCAATTACTTATATGAAATGTATTCCATCTGTGTTTAGCAATCATGGGACACTCTCACTGGAACTGCTTCCTTATAAATTTGATGCAGCATATTAATTTTAATGTATTCTGGGAAATGCTCTGAATATAGGAAAATAACCTCTTCACACATAAACGTTTTGCTGGCTTGAGGAGAAATTTGCTAGTTTGTGAAGTGGGTTTTTTTGGGTTTGTTTGAAGTTTGAAAACACCAGCAGCACGAGGACAAATGGACTCCTCATTCTTCAGATCTTATTTGTGCACTTTGCAGCAAACTGTCTTATTTTAGGCCTTATTTTATTGTATGGTTAATATTGAGATTAATTACATCGCGTGCACCTCCCAGGACAGTGGCAAGATAAGCATGGAGAACACCCTTGGGGAGCAAATCAAAATTCTTCACGCATAGGCAAAATGAGATCTAGTGTGCTGTGTTTAGCCTCAATTCGGAATGGCACCCTGTGACTTTGCACTCTATATGATTTTATGAAAAACGCTAATGAGTGTGAATATAATGTAACTGGAATACGCTTCATGCAGAAGGTCCTTTGTAAGGTATCATTACAAAGCTTATAATCTACTGAGTGTGATCATCCTATTTGTATGTATGTATCATTCTTGTATCTGAAACTAGAAATATGAAATATAACTCTGAGGGCCTATTGTAATTATGCAAAATGTGGGCCATTAATGGTGGTTTGGAATCTTGATGGCTCCCATTAACCAGGACAATTGACTGTGGATGGTTCTGTTGGTTGCAGGCCTTCCTGTGAGTCAGGCTGGGAGGAATGAAGGCTTGGGGTCTCACAGGACATGTGACCCTGTCACTTGGTACTGAAATCCATCTTAAACCTGGTGCTTTTCCATTTAGAAGGGGGGTGGGGACCCAGAGAGACAAAAGAGTCACACCTTGTGCCAAAGCTATATAAGGAGGGGGAACAGAACAAAGGGGGATGCAATCACGAGAAATCCCCTAGCTACTACCTGAGCTGGAACAAGGGCTGTACCAGGGGAAAGGATTGTGCCCAGACTAGGAAGGCATCCAGTCTGTGATAGAAGCTAAGTCTGTGTTTGTAGCCGGCAAGCTTGTCTGGCACAACCAGGCAGGGGTCTGGAGTCCCAAGCTGGCAGGGAAGGCAGGGACAGAAGTAGTCTTAGCACATCAGTTGGCAACTCCCAAGGGGGTTTCTGTGATCCAACCTGTCACATGCCCATTTAAATGATGGAAAATCCACAAAGTCTTCTTTCCAGAGAGGCAGTCAGTCATCAAATCACCTGGCTTCTCATTGGAGATAGGAAGCAGTTATTGGTAGTCATAAGAGGGAGAATAGCTTCTACAATGTGTCAGTCAATTCCTGTTCCCAGAATTTCACCAGCAATGCAGAAGCAAATGAGAAAGCATCCTGCGTCACACAAGAACAACCCCTTTGGGTAATTAGGGCCAGACTGTCAAAGAGTCACGTGCAAATATCCAATGTTCACATGAAAAATCAGGTTTTGCATACATGGCAAGTAGGGCGCCTAACTAGCGGTGTGCGCAAATGCCTAATTTGTGTGAGCATGCTGAGTAGCAAAACGTCACGCCATTTAATATATAAACGCTTTACGTATAGTATAGAATTATGACAAGCATCAGAACTCTTATGTCAAGTAGCATTCAAATACTTTTTCTCTAGCTCTTTCCCTGAAGCAAGGAACTCCCAAAGTTTATCTTAGAAAGCAGATGGACCCTATTATCTGTGCCTATGAAAATCCTATTTACAATGTTGTACATTTCACGCTGTGATATCATATCTGGAACCAGCTACTCTCCCCATCTGCAACGAACAACTGTTCTCATATGTGTATTAGGGGCTGAAGCCCTGGCTGAACAGTCTCATGATGTCACACTAAAGCGGTATTATTTTACAGTAACTTGCAAACAATGGCTGCTATATTTATCAGTGTTTTTATGTCAGCAAAGCCAGCGTTTGGGGAGGAAAGGATTGCAGCAAGGTTTTTAAACATCTCCTCATAGTTCAGGTCGACCTCACACCCGCCAAAGAAAGTCCTTAAACTTATTAATTTTCCTAAGATGTTACAAAACTCTGGATTTCCCAACTTTCTCACTTCTTCCAGAGAAGCAGGGCAACAGAAAAGATACTTAGACAACACTTCAAGCATCCCAAATCAAGCACTACACGTAGGCCACCCCAACATGGAGGCACAGATCAGCGTGTGTGGAAAGCACAGAGAAAAGTCAGTGTCCAAATATCTATCCACTGCCAAGGGCTGCTTAAAAAAAAACTGCAACAAACCATATAAGGGAACCCCCAGTTTCATACTTGTAAAGAAACTGCTTGCAAAAGGCAAGGCATTTGGATAGCCAAATAAGGTTCAGTGTCTCTGTAAATCAGTGTGCTTTCTGAAACTTACCCTGTCACCAGCCATCAGAGGTCTTGTTACACCTACAGTCTTTTCACCCATCCCTTGATCTGAAATGATGGCTAATGCATGGCAGGATGATGGAAGTTCCTTTGGTTCATGCTGTTTAACACACAACCTGGTTCTGACAAAACAGATATCTACTACCTTTCCATGGAGAAGGTATCCAGTCTTGTTTAACTTGAGACCTGCATGGATGATTCCAATAACCGTGCCTTGGGTCTGTTTGCTCTTGGTCAGGTACTCTTCTACACATGGAGACCAGGGAAGGGGAAAATGCATGAACCTTAAGCATCTGATCCCAGATGTCCATTCTCGTGGCTGGATTTGAGTGTGTCCCATGATCAAGTGGAATTCTGTAGGGCACAGCTCATCATGCTATTTATTGAACTTCCTACTTAAGCAAACTGTGTATCAAACCTAGCATCAGGAGTCACTGAGACATCTAGTCGTGACTGATTTCAGCATCCATGAACAGAAATGCTTCTAGGTCTTAATGACTTGGAACTGTACAGCCGCTATGGAAGGCATAGGATTATCTCCAGGGGGTCTCCAATTCATGCCAGGGGACAAATGAACTAGGATCTTCTGGAATATTTTGTTAAATTACATTGCCATGGACCAATCATCTTCTCCTCAAACTTGAGATCAGGGTGTTTCCTTGCCCCGTTGAGATGACAGACCTACTGTTATGTTCTACCCTCAGACATTCATGGACCCAATGAGATTCAAGAATGCTCTGGGAGATTCTACTACCCATCCACAGGTTCACATTGCTGATGGAAAAGAAATCTCTTGGCCACAGCCATTGACACTGGTACCTGGACGTCTTCTGTCACTACAGTCCTTAGGAAAGGTTATCATTGTGTGTTCTCTCAGGTTACCATGGCGTTCTGAAGTCCTGCTTGTAGGGACTGATGGAGTGACTCTTCAGGAGGTTATTTCCTTCCTCAGAGATCTCAGAGAGCAGTGCTGAATATCTGTTCATCTCCCAAGACTCCTTACAAGGTCTCAGAGGGTTTTATTCCTTCACCCTTCCTGTTCAGTGTGTATTTAAAGCCACTGGGGGTTACTGATAAGACACTCGGGGAGAAAGGTTTTGGGCTGCAATGTCTGTGATCAGATACTCAGCTCTGTATCTCCTGCTCATCAACTCCAGATTCTACAGTTTCAATAGTTTCCCCTCAGACAGAGAATCGGATGATAGGAAAGTGGCTGTACCACAACCCTGACAAGACAAACATGAAGTTTTCTGTTAGAGAGAAACATGAGCTGGAGTGGAAGCTTCATCATTTATAGAGGGTAGAGGCTTCTTGTGCTAGAATAATACAATCTGAGGAACTCTGGGAGATATCACCTCACACGAATTCTCAGGTACCAGCAGCTGCCTGGTAGTGCCTTGTATCCTCTGGAGCTGCACTGCATCTCTAAGGAAGATTTATGTCTGATCTCTGAGTTTATTACCACCTGGCTGTGTTACTGAAACATGTTCCAAGGAATATTCTTGAAGGCCACTCAGAAGCTCTGGTTGCTTCATTACACAGCTGCAGTGTGGAGGCCTTTTCTAATACAAGCACAGGACAGGGGGCTCCAATTCCTTCACTGGGTATTTGCTCCCAGGTGAGGGAGTCTGTAATTATTGGATTGGGAACCACTGTGAGGCTACAATGCCCCATATAATCCTTTTACAACAGCTAGAGTTGCTCAGAAATTGGGCTTCAAAGAGAAACTAACTTACAGCCTTAACTATGGTATCCTTATCATGATTCCAAAAATATTTCCATTAGAGCTGGATGAAAAGATTTGTAACAAGAACTCAACAAAATTGTTTGAAACCGCAAACATTTGTGAAACTGATTTAAAAAAACCCCATCTTTCCTATGAAACATTGGGACAGGGACAACGTTTCTGCATGAGGATTTGCATAATTTTTCATGTTGAGGTGGGTTGGTTGTCACTGGTCACATGATACTGGTTCCAGATTCCTGATGGATGAGCCTGCTCATGTGGTCAAAAGAGCCAGAAGTGACAGCAGGCCACCAGCCATTCCTAGCTGGATAACACCACTAGATCATGTGGTAGGGAAACGGCGTAGAAAGAGAGGACGTGCATGCTCTAGTCAGCTCTTCCTTACGTTAGGACAGTTCATCCAAGCAGCCAAATTCTGACCTTTCAAGACATGGTGCCCTTCCACCACTACGTTTATATGGCGTTTATATGGCTACCTTAATGCTGTGATTTCAATGGCTCTTTTTTAAATACAGTTGGAGTCAGTCTACAGGTCATAAATATCATGGTGTGGTGACACCGGTGAGGTTTTGGTGGGAAACAGGCTGGTTTATCGGCTACCAAATGATTATTATGCCCTCAGGGTACGTCTACACTTACCTCCGGGTCCAGTGGCAGGCAATCGATGTTCTGGGATCGATTTATCGCGTCTGGTCTAGACGCGATAAATCAATCCCAGATTGATCCCGGAAGTGCTCGCCGTCGACACCGGTACTCCAGCTCGGCGAGAGGAGTATGCGGCATCGATGGGGGAGCCTCCCTGCCGCGTCTGGACCCGCGGTAAGTTCGGACTAAGGTACTTCGAATTCAGCTACGTTATTAACGTAGCTGAATTTGCGTACCTTAGTCCGAAGTGGGGGGTTAGTGTGGACCAGTCCTAAGTCTCCAATTTGCTTGCTGCACTACAGCGGACCAAAATTCAGGTGAAAAGTCAGACCTTTGACTCAAGGGTGCAAAATCTGGTATATGTGCCAATGCCGTTTTTGAAGCAGAACTGGAGTGCCTATTAGGTTGGTCAAAACTTGGGATTTGCAGGAAATTAACAGGAAATTTCAATATTTCAAAATCTGGTTTTTGGTCAGATTCAAATTGAAACCAAATTTTTCAAAATTTCTCATGAACCAAAACTCCCCCAAAAAATCATTTTGGAAACACTGACATAGTTCTGGCAGCTGGTGACCAAAACTGACATGATCAATTTCAGTGGTGAAACTGAAGGATCAAGAATCATGTCAATTACATTCTGCAGCTGCCAGAGCTCCCAAGTCTGCAGTTCAAGGCAACCCAGACTCCCAGGTCAGCTGGCCCTGCATGTTGCCTGCAAGCTGCCCATCCACACAGTGGCGCTGCCCCAGAACCACAGACCCTGGAACCCCAGCCTCTCCAGCAGCCGGCCAGGAAGCCAAGCAGATTTCTGACAGAACGCTGCCTATGATTCAACAAAAGTTCGTCAAACCTGAGGAGATATTTTCGCAAAGCATTTCACATTCAACAAATCAGCATTGTCCAACAAAACTGTTTTGCTGGAAAACTTCCAACCAGCTCTAAATGCATACATCACTGGTCTTTTGGATGCATAACCACATATCTGTGACTTTCCATGTGTGTGTTTCTCTTTCCTCTGGATTTTATACCTCTGATCGGTAGAATGTAAGGCTCTATCGAGTATTGCTTATTGATCATATGGGCAGGCACACAATCCTTAGAGCAGAAGTCCCCAAACTGTGGGTTGCATCCTCATAAGGGGGGCAAAGAGGAACATTCAGGGGGCAGCAGGCCCAGGCCAGGCACTATAGGGGGCAGGGAGGGAGCGCCACCCAGTCCCACCCCAAGCTCTGTCCCTGGCCCCGTCCCCAGCCTCAGCGTGGCTCTGTACTTGGCCTGGGGCCCAACTGCCGAGGCTGGGGAGTGAGCAGAGTCACACTGGTCGCCAGCCCCCCCACGGCCTGGTGCAGTTCCGTTCCCACCCCTGGCCCCACTCCCAACCCTAAACCCACCCCCAGCTGCGGCCCAGCCTCAGCCTCCTTACCCCTGTCCGTGCCCCCCACAGCCCCAGCCCCGCTCCTGGCCTCAGAGGGGGCAGGGGGCACACATAGGGGCAAGGGGGGGGGAAGCACGACTCTAAAAAGTTTGGGGACCACTGCTTTAGTGTGAACGTCTGTGAAGGCAACTTCGTGAAGGAGAATCAAAGATACGGCATCACCCTCTGCTCTTTCAGTTTCACTAGCTCAGTTTTGGCTTATAATACTTTGCAGTGAGGCAGGGATGCTACCTGGCCCTCAGCACACGGTGCGTCACTTCCAGCTTCACCTTCCACTTCTCTTGAGCACACACACACACACACACACACACACGGGAACAGCTGAGACACAGACGGGGGAAGAATGCCTCTGAGAAACTAGAAGAGACGCCCCCCTCCCCATAAAAATCTTCAAATAATATATAAATTCATTGTACTGAAAATGGCCAACATATTATTTGAACATCTGTTATTTTCACCGGCTTATCTATATCGCAAGAGCAACAGCATTTTATGTTCTGGGCACCTGGATAAGCTCTCCCCTTTTCAATCCTGCTGCAACATCTTCCATTGACATGTAGGCTTCAAATACGTTCTTCTTCCTCCCTCTTGTGGGTTTATTCCGATTCTTTCTATCGCCTGATGTGGAGACAGCAGCATGGGACTCTCCTGCAAATACAAATCCGCAAACTGTTACCTTTCTAACCCAAGTCTGGATGTATTTTAACAGCAGTTACAGGGAGGCTTTGTACTGTACTCAAGATTGAATCTTTGAGAGCAGCTTGCCTAGAATACCGACACATTACAACAAAATACCACAAGACTTGAGAGACCATAGCTTACAAATAATCAACAGTCTTTTACAGCTCCACTTCACCCCAGCCGGTCCTTTAACAGTGCCTGAGCATGCATTTCAAAGCAGCTTGTTTCTGAAGTGTGTGCCCACTTTGTTTTAATACCTCTGGGAGTTCCCAGTTTTCTAGAGTTTATTCTGCAGTCTGAATTGTTCATTGTTTCTGCCTGTGCTTCGGAGAGCTGCCTCTTCCTATCAAAATTCTGGGGAGCTCTGGTTGATTCTGAGTTGTTTCTGGTTCTTCCAAAGCTTCTCTTGTCTCCACCTGGAATCAAACACAAGTTTGTAATAAAAGAAAAAAATAAAGTGACCCACCTTTGTTGTACTCATGTTCTCAGAGAATCGGAGTAAACGTCACACTTATGTGTTATGGCCTCTCCCCCAAAGAAAAGTCATCTCATCACTAGGTCTTTCTTTCAGGAATTAACTTGCAATACAATCTTGGCCCTTCATAACTCTTAACTCCACCATTAACTTATTTTACTACAAACTAAACTCTAGAAATTCCTAAACAAAAGCTTGGATAGAGTCTTTCCCAAATCCTGTGAAATTCTTTAGACTGTATAAAAGGCGAGATGGTTCAAACGTTTTCAAAGTCTAACCTCCCACCACCACCTCTGCTCATCAAACTCCCAGCTAGTGATGAAATGTAAATTCACTCAGAATTGCATTCAAAATATAAAGAGAGTAGAATTACAAAAAAAATTAAAACACTTTGGGATACTTGGTTAGGAAAGATAGAAAATGTTGCAAAAGTCCACCTTGGCTTAACCACGAGCTCTCGCATTATCTAAAAAATAAAATGGAGT